AGAGGCCGGCCCGTGAGGCATGAAACAGCTGCGGTTCAGGGAGCAAGCAGTGGCATTGCCGTGCATCACTGGGAATCACTTCTGCATACGGGCACACGTCTCAGGCACACTTTGCTTATGGCTGCATTGCGACGACACACTTACAGGGTGAAACACAGGATGAGACACCTTTGAGAAGGTGCAAATGCATGCCTGGTGCACATGTCGACCAGGTGGACTGTCCCATGCAAGCAGGGCGAGCGTCAAGTACACTGGGAGGGTATGGGCCCAGCAATGGTCGATGGCACGAGTCAAAGGCCCTGTAAGCTTATTTTGACTATCTTTGCTTGCACACGCGGGTGCGAGATGCAGTAACAAGGGCCATGTAGGCAGCAAAGGTTGCGGGCGAGTGAGACCATCCTGCGCACGGGGCGGTGCAGGCATGCATCAACCGGCGCGCCTGGGGCGGCGGGTGCGTAATGCTTCAACGCTCTGATGCACTGCTAGAGGAATCATGAAGCAAATCGGGAATGGCAGCCATGCCGCGAATGTACCACCGTAGGTCTGCATGCACCCACCACTCGGCAGCCTGAAACGAAGCACGCTCGCCGAGGGTGAGGAAAGGCCACAATGCTTCGGACGCTGCGGGCGTGAGAAAGTATGTGCTGCCCCATAGCGGCTGAGGCACCAATGCTGGGGATGCCGGGGGCGTATCGTCAGGCACGCTGTTGCGCATGCGCCAAGCGACGGCATGCAGTGCGTGCAAGCTGGGCTCTTCCAAGTACGCACAAAGCTTGCCATGCACAAAGTGAATGCAAAAGGCGAAGGAAGCAGTGGCCGTTTCCATGGCTGCGCAAAAAAGGGAGGGTAAACCCTCACACGTGACCCTGCCCATAGCTGCCCATCAGCACGCATCTCTGCCTTCGGCATCGCATCCCCCATGGAGCGCCATGACATCCTGGAAGCGATGCGTGATACCATCGCACGCAGCTACCTGTCGTGCTGCTGAGCATCCGCTTCTACTTGCGCATTGTGGCATTCTGCATGGTCTTCACCGCACTCATCGCGCTAGCGGCATACTTGCAAACACTGCCTTCCATTTTCCAGACGAGTGATTTCTTGCATGCCGCCATGCTGCGAACTAATTCGCAGACGGCATATCTGCACAACGGTTAGCAAACGCATTTTGCACACTTGCCTAAAAAAGGGTGCTCTTTCCATGGGTGTTTTTTGGTGTCTCCCACAGCGCTCACTCCCGAGCATGAGTCAAGGTGGCAGCAGCAGGCCTTTCCCTCAGCTGCCTGAGCCGTGCATCATGCTGAGCAGCTGAAGACTCCTTCGCATGTCCGCAGTTTCCATTCAGTTTCAAGTTGCGGTCGCCTTCCCTCCTTGTGCATAATGTCCCTGGTCAGTGACACCAACGCTTGCTTCAACGCATTTGACGACAACGACACACCGCAGCATGGCCCCAATGCCACCGCATTGACGCATCCCCTTCTCGCTTTATGCAGGATGGCTTTGCATCCTCCTCAATGGTTGGCTACGACGCATGGACCGTGCTGACCGTTTGGCGTGCATACATCGCATGGGACACCTGAGCAATCTTTTGCTCGACATCCTCAGTATCCTTGGAGTGCATGGTATGACTTTTGGCATTGCACGCATGCGCTCGCTCATTGCATACTTTGTCGACTGTGTTCGCATTGATCAGCAGATCGATGTCGACGGCGTGTTGGAGAATCGCAAACAAAGCCTTGCAGGCTTCCGCATGGCAGGGAAATACCTTGCCATCATCCCTTCTCCGCCTTGCTCGCAAATGCCAAGTTCCGCTCTGAGCACAGCATGCACGCATACATGCAGCCCAGCTTGGATTTGTTGCGTGAATGGGAGTCACGCCTCAGCATGGACGACATCGCCTTGGTCGTCCGGTCCTGCATCGCATTGCTTGAAAGCATTAAGACTTATATAAGCGTGCTTCCTCAGCCACGCAGCGCGCACTTCCTGCACTGGTCAGACAGGCATCACGAACTCGCGGAACTGGCCGACGAGTGGGCGCATTGCATGCCTGCACCCGCATCGCCAGCTATCTCCCGAAGAAGCATCGCGTGTAGCACAAAGCCGGGAAATCCACAGGAGGAGCAGAGAACTCTTCAAAGCAGTTGCCACACAAGGAGGCGTGGCAGTCTTTGAGCAACCGCCGTCGAGCATGGCATGGCTCGAGCCGGAAAACTTTCAGTGTCTCAAAGCCTTCCACGGACACTTGGCATGGGTGGACGAATGCCAGCACGGCATGTCTTTTGCAAAACCTTGGTGTTTCGCTTCGAACAACCCATGCATCCTGTAGCAGCTCGTTGCAATCACCCGAAAAAGCACGCCAGCGTCGCAGGAGTGCGCAGCGCCTCGGGCCAATTCCTCAGCACATTGACCGCAGAATATCCCGCGACTCTGGCCGCAAGCCTGGTCACGCATTGTGCATTCAAAGTTCGACGTGACCCGCTGGTACGCGAGCTTAAAAAACCCTTGCATCCATACCCTGCATCCCCACAGGCTCAAAATCTGTGATGGAGCTGGCATGCATTCCACAGCGGATCATTCGGTACCCCAGCCCGATCACCCGCTGGGGACAGTAGCGCACGCCTGGCTGCAGCGGGCAACAACACAAAATTTAATTCCCAAAATTCTCGCCCACGTCAGCTCAGACACACCTGAGCCACCCTTGTCGGCCTAGGAGTCCGAAGAGGCAGCACTGATTGCTTTTGAGGCAGTAAACCTGCCCGCCCCAACCAGTCTGGCTCCCGACAACGGCCAGCCGTACCGGCTGTCCCTGTTGCATGCACTGGCCACCGCGTCGGATGACCCGGACATCAAACTCCTTCCCTTGCTCTCCGAAGGTGTGCCCACAGGAGCCCTATCCGAATTGCCCCGTAGCATGCAGTGGCCGCTCAAAGAGCACGCAGACCTGCCTCACGAACTCACAGAATGCAAGGGCAACTGGACAGCCGCCGAAGCAGAGCCCGACACTGTGTCTGCCCTTTTGGATAAAGAAATTTCCAATGGGTGGGTCGTCCGCACAGATATGTCCATCGAACAGGCTAGGCGACATTGGAATAAAGGCATTGCAGTAGGCAAACTCAGTGTTGTGCATGCAGAAGGAAAGGAACCACGCCTGGTCCTAGACAGCGCCGTGTGCGGGGTGATCCCAGAACGCATCAGCCTGCCGATGGCATCCGACGTGCGCCTCGCTTTTATGCCAGAAGACGCGCGTGCTTCTTTCACAGGCGCGAGTTTTGATTTTAAAGCCGCACGCAAGCAAATTCAGGTACACCCTAGCGAACATGGCTTGCTCCTGTTTTCAGGCAGACTTGGCATGCCCGCTGCAAAGCAAGCCAATCCTGGCATGCAAAGCAGCCGCCGATGCTTGTGCCTGCTGGTTCATATCCAGCCGCTCCGTCTCATGGTTCGCAGAAACGTGGGACTTCCAGGAAGTCCAGCAGCCGTGGCCTTGCCTCACCAAGGAGGCCCAACGCTACATAGCGTGCTTCGAAACCTTGGCCCAGCTCGCGCTCATGCGAATCGCTTGGGCCGCCGAGAGCCAAGCAGTGCACGGCATCTGCATGCCCTCCGGTACAGACAATACCGCATCAGAAGCCGGAGTGAACAAGCTGTTCACCACAGCATGGCCTTTGCAAATTTTTGTGCAATTGGTCGCCGCATGGGCCTACAAGCACAAATGGTCAGTACTAGCCTCGCGCATCCCAGGCGAGCACAACGTGTGAGCTGATCAGCTCAGCCGCGGAAACACATCCGCATTCGACAGCAAGCCGCAAGCTCGCTTTCGTTTTCGCCCGCATGATTTCTGGCCCCACAAATGCTGTCATAGCATCCGCCCGACGCTCCATGGCGACCGGAGCATAAGAGTGCTTCGCAAACGCTCTGAAGAGGGGGTGATAGAGTAGGCCGTTTGCTTGGAACCCTGAAGTGGGGGCATTTGAGAAGGCTCCGCAGAGGGGTGCAGACACGGGGAAAGGACACGCGCTGTCTTTCCCCCTGCACCCCCGAGCCTTTACTTCCAAGCAACGCCTTATAAAGAAAAAGAGCATGCGCACATGTTTGTCGGTCGTAATCTTTTATCTTTTGCCGCATGTTCCCTTTCGGATTGAAGCAGTGATCAAGATTCTAACTTCTCAGTTTTAAAGAGGAGTTCCTTTGCGTGCAGGAGGTGAATTGGAATTTGCACAATTAGAAGAATTCTGCTTAATAATAAGATGTTAAGCCGGATGTTCTTTCCAAGTAGGAATCCAACTAGACTTAAAAGCAATCTAAGAGGGAAAAACATGCTGTTCGCTTCTTGAAAGTTGCCTGCACCTTAAAAGCAGCGGGCAACCAACAGAAATCCAAGGAAAATGCAGTTTCAGTTCTATTGGTTTACGCGTGTTTTATTGCAAGGCTTTAAGTTTGAGTAGGATTCACGTTAACATGTTAATTTTGAATTAGGTTGAACAGGAGTTCCTTTCCAAGAAGAATTTAATTCGAATCTATTTAGAATCGATGGAGGCAAAAACACGCTGGTTGTTCTTGTCGATCTTCTCAGAAACTACCTCTGGCGCGGATCTTGGGGGGAGGGGGTCAACTAGAAAATAGAAATCGCAGGAAGTGCAAAGGCGCGGTCGACGTGGAAAAAATCGACATGGCATTGCGAAATTCCTTTTTTGCCATGTTGACCGACCTCCCCTTCGCAAGGGATGCTGGTCAACGTGCAACAAGTTTTCTTTTCTTTTTGTTTCACGAGTGCCATGTTGACCGACCCCCTCCCGGTGTGGGGTGTCAGGAAATTTCGCCATAGCAGCTGCAGCCATTGCGCAGCTCAAAGTGCACTCCAAAACCACGTTAAGGTGCCACGCTAGAAACCAGGATGCCAACCAGTCGGGAGTAGCACAGCGCAGCACCCGAATAATTCTTCGCAGAAACCCAAAAAATAGCTTAGATAAATTCAGTGGCACATGTCGGTTGGTGCAAGTTGAGGACGGAGGTGGTGTTCCCGCCCAGTGGGAGGATGCGAAATCTTCCCAGATGAGCATGCCGATATGAGCAGCCGTGCATTGCATTTGTGCATGCTAGCAGCTTGGTCCAGAATTATTATCGATTTGTTTGACGCAGTTGGCTGGCTTGCTGCTGCTGCTGCTGCTGCTGCTGCTGCTGCTGTTCTTCCCAGAAGGCAGCCTTACAATCGCAGGTCCCATGCTTCTTTGCCTGTAGGCGTTGCAGTGCAACATTGTTTTGCCCGTCAATTGTTGCAATATTACCTGGAGGGTGGAAATCATCAACCAACAAAGCTTACTTAGCACCGTCAACTCGCTCACTTCCAGCGTGTTATTTCTGCCCGTCAACGATTTGGCAGTGGTGAACCATCGTGGGATGTTTTGCTCATACTTCAGGCTCTGCTTGGCGTTGCAGCTGACGTGCCTTGGCATGTGAGAGATACCTGGCGGTGGTCCCAGGGATGGGCAACGGCATGCTGCCCGACCACGAGTGCTTCGGAGGCTCAGTTGCCCCAAGGTATTGACCTTGGATGGTGGCAACTTCACAGTCGCGCTGCGGGCAAATCCGAGGAGCGGGGAGGGGGAAGTGAGCCCGAGTGTAGGATATTCACCACATCCCAAGTCACTAAGCCCAAGCACGGGATACATAGCCTGCATTCCTTGGCCAGGTTGAAAACTCATGCAACCGAGAACTGAGACCTGCATCACGCTTTCGTGGCACAAGTGTGGCCTTGCAGGCTGCTGCTGCTGTTCTACGCACCGTGGTGTGACTCGCTGCAACCAGTGGACAGCTGTGATGTTGCCCATGTCAATCCAGTTCAGGGAGTCCTGCCGTCCATGAACGATTTATCATCAAGAATAGTGGACATGGGTCTTGTTGCATCTCATGTCAGATTCAAGCCAAATGTAGTCCACTCATGTGGTTTGGAAATGACTCTGTCACATTTTTCGGCCCAACCCATGGCCAGAGCTTTTTTTTCCCTTTTTTTTCCTTATTTTTTTTCTTCTTTTTTTGCTTTTTCCGAAAGGCGTGCACAGCCGGAGCTTGGAGCCCGAGTTCGTCAAAGCAGCGGACCTGCTGCCGGACGTGGTTTTGGCCAAGGTCGCCCCTTCGAAGCAACAGGAAAGCTTCACAGAGTCACAGAGGTGCCGCAAAGACGCCTTGGATCCTCTCTCCCTGTGAATTGTTGTGCGTGTAAACAGCATTCTGAGGATGCCAGCATGGAGGTGGAAGTTGCAGAGGAGCCGCTCAGTTGCATCGTTTTTCCCTGCGAGCGTTGCCGGCTCTTTTGCTTGCTGAGGGATGGGAGCTGAGGTTTGGAATCGGCGCATACCCGGGAGTCTTCCTCGTACAGAAGCACAAGTACGATGCTCCCCATGCATTGCGGGGCACGGTAATTAACGGTGCGTGGTTGTTTATGACACTTGTACCACTTTTGCAAAAGGCTAATTTGAGGGTTGGAAACAGAGGACTCTTTCTTGTGGCTTCCCGGGGCAAATACGAAACTCAGGCCAATGAAAGTCTCATACGATTGTGGCACGCGCGAACCACTGTCAAGTGGGTAAATGGATTTGGGACAAGTGCCGCCCTTTCCTTGGTTTGGGAAGACCGCTTTAGGAAGACGTGCTTTGATCCGAGGAGGAGTTCTCGGGCCGCCGCACGGCGGTGGCCATTGCTGAGTGGACGCGGGGCAAAGTGGGTGCCGGGCCCAGCGCGCGAGTTGAAAATCAGTGAAGCTGTTGGGGATTTTGGTTTTCACCTGGAGAGAATTGGGGATCTCCGCAGCAAATGCTGCGCAAACCACAGCCTGGCCACGCACAGGACCCGCGCTGGAGGTGGTGTCCAGTGTGGACAAGCTGCAGGTGGGGCTGGGGGCAGATGCAAAAGTACAGCCCACTAGCCAGCCCAAGCAAGTGAACCTGAAGAATTGAGCTGCTTGGACTCTGCATTGGTCCAACTCCAACTGCTTTTTCTATGACTCAAAAAGCTGTTTTCGGTCCCAAGCAACCTTCCAAGCCACACAGGCCGCGCTGGTGAAGCGCGGAGTGCTGAGCGCGGTGGTGGCGCCTAGGATGCATTGTGAAGTTCCGGGAGTTTTTGGGCCTGTTCTTTTTCTCAAGTGTTTTTTCAGGCCACCTTTGGGGATCGTGATTCCATGTGCTTATCGCGAGGTTGCCAAAATGACGCGTGTAAAAAATCACTGGTGGCCACAGGGCACTGGGCTTGAGGCTTCCGGCTCCGACACGCTGCAGAAAGCCATCGGAAGGTGGGGTGAAGGTCGTTGGGTTCTTCCGGTGAGGCAACCGGGTCAGGAAACAGTGCGCCATACATGCTGCTTGCAGACTAGGCCCCAGCGAAGCCGCTGGTTTCGCGGTTTCCCACAGAAAGAGACAGGAAGAAACAGGAAGAGGAACAGCAGCTTGCGACTTGCGACACCTGGCAGGGTCGCGGAAAGACACCGCGCGCTGGGCATCTTCCTCTTCATGCCCGATGGCACGGACAGCGTGCCCTGTCGAAATCGGCGCTCGCGGCCTTTGAGACTTGCGGCATGGCTACTGGGTCGGTTTATTATGACAAAACACGGACATCTTACTTTCCCCCTAACAACTGGACCGCAACCATTCTATGAAACAACCAGAATTCAATAGTTAACCATGTCTCCTGGGTGGTTTGACAGAGCTCTGGCGAGGTGAAGCTGTACCGCGGCCTGAACGAAGTGCTCACTTTCGAGGCCAGTTTCTAATCTTTCTTCTCTGGCTGGTTTCTTTTCTCATTGTGCCGCGCCAGGTGCAGGCGCAGAATCCGGAGGCTCGGCCACTTTGATTGCTCGTAAAGCTGCAGGCCTTCCCGCATTGCAATACAGTAACTATGTTCAGCGCCTTTCAAAAGACAGGAATAGTGTGTCCCATGTTGCTTTTTCATGTTGTGCTCGGTTTTGTTATCTGGGTGGCTTCTTGGTTTTCAAAACCATGGATACCAACCACAATCAAAGACAAGGTGCTAGAAGTATAATTATATGATATATATATATATAAGTACACACCTACACATAATTATTTGTACAAATTGAGGAGCTTCCGAACCATATGTGTTATCTCCAAACTTTTGAGTAGCCAATGGCCGCGACCGTCTTGAGGACCTGGACGCGGAGCTGCTGGGCTTTGTGCAGAGGGAGCGCCTGCCGCTCTTCGGGGAGATCTCTGAGGTGCGGATCTCTTGAATGGGCACTCCCTCGAAGGAAGGAGACGTGATGGCAGGGATGTTGATCTCCTATTTAGTATATATATATATATAGATATATGCACATATATTTACAAAACAATAAGAACCCTGGTTGATTTGTGCGATTGTTTGTCAGCATTGCATGTTGCGCTTCGTCCAATGTTTCGAACACAGCGACAATTCGTTCTGATTGATATCCAAATATGTCCAATTCAACAACCATTCAGCAAGGATCGCAGGATGCAGGGGTAACCAAGATTTGAATAGTCATTTCACCATGCAGTCCGACATCATTGTTGCGTCGCTTGGAGTCCACAGCTGGCAGCTTTCACTGCCTGGATTGCCTAGGAGAACTTCTACCACTACGTCGGGCTCACAGGTGCGTCAAGCAGGCTCCAAGCTTTGCCTTTCCTGAACCGAGGAGTCGACAACCAAGCGATGAATTCAACCTGACACCAAGGAGACCAGCGGTTTGAATGGCCTGCTGTGGGTGCTCTTTGCAAATAGCCCAGCGCTTGGCGGAACACAGCCTTTGGTCCAGATATTCCTGATGACTTTGATGAGTGCAGCTAGACACAGTTTTAGTCGGAGCCAATGCTTCAAGAATTCTTGGTGAGACTTTGCCGCCAAGGAATATGCCGAACATGTCCCAAGTTGCCACTGCGAAGTTGATGTTACTCGCCAAAATCCCCCAGCGGCGTTGGGGTACACCATAAATATTGGTCGTGTCTCATGCATTTCGTTTGTGGAGCTCCCATGTCCAATGCGGCCCAAATCCATCTCGTTGACTTCCCAACAGTCAAACGGCACAGAGTATCTCCATTTGGCTGGAGAGGTTCGAATGACTTGGATCTTCTCGAATGGCAAGAGTGATGATGACGATGATGATGACGATGATGATGACGATGATGATTATGGTGATGATGGGTCAGAGCGCTTTGTTGGGTTCCTTACGGGTGAAAGAAAACGGTAGCTGAGGCGTTTCTTGGGGCTGCTTGGGACGTCTCCAATGCTCGCCTGAGGCACCGGGCAGCCTTGTCTTGCTGGGCAGTGCTCGACACAGGCATGGGCTCCCTGGTCATTTCCTACCCGTGGCTTAAGACAGCAATGTGCACGGTCTCAAGCCTTTCTGTTGGCTTCCATACTTGGGAAAGCTACCAGTTGTGAAAAGAGCACACTTGCATCTGGGCTGACATGGACCCCTTTCGCCAGGTGACAGGCAAACGCAACAGAAGACACAATTGCTCGCCGTATAGTATTCATGGTGTTGCGGGATTCCATGTGTTTTTAATGAATTTCTATGACTTTTCATGGGTTTACATGGGTTTCGATGGTCTATTAGTCTCTTTGGTTTGCCGCTTTGTCAGGCTGCGCACCACAGCGCCTCCTTGCGGGAGGTGGCTGAGAGCTTCGGCACCAAGGCGCGAAACGCGCCGACTTGGGACCTGACAAAATTGAAAACGGGGCGGGGGGGGGGTGTCCACGGCTTTGTGCATTTCTGGAGTGGGTTTGAAGATGCACCCCGCAAAAGGATTCCTTTCCGGTCAGCCCTGACAAATATGGGCGCCACAATGCTAGACAGACCCGGATTGCTTGGCGGTTTCCTTTTTGGTGTCCCGGGAAAGGCGTGCCCGAAACTGTTGAGGGACATATCTGCGCGCAATGTTCGTAAAAGCTTCGAGTTGCGAGAGCTGTTGTTGATTTGGGGAGTAAAGTCCATTGGCCATGTGTGCAAAGAATCTAGGGGGGTTTGGTTAGGGTTTGGGTTGTCCAGGCAAAAGAGCTCTGGCAACTTGAAGCCACGCTGCAGGTTGTTTACACCGATGCTGCAACGCACAAGGACGTTGGGTGGTTGAAGAGTCGAAGGGGTGACCCAAAACTGGAATCTTGGACACGCCAGATGTGCTTCCCCACTCAACGGGGTCGACACGAGTGGGGCAGCTAACTGTGCTTGCGGGACATGTTTGGCATGCTGACTGTGGAGCCACATTCAACGCCGAGGAGTTCCTGGCCGAGGAGCTGGGGGTCCGGCAGTTTCCGGCACTGGTAGTGCAGAAGGGACCTCTGGGCCCGGCCCGCGAGCTGGAGAAGCGCCCCAGCCTCTTTTCAACGTTCTCGGTGTCCAATGGTCTTTCCTTTGTCTTTTTCTTTCTGCAAAGATTGCAGGTACGTGCTTCAGCTTGACAACGCCAACGTTAATGCTGACACCATCACCGCTTGGTTGGAGAAGGCGATCGGAAATGAGACCATTCTGCTTGCAGAGGGCCATTCTGCTCCTCTGGCAGGTGCTTCCCCGACCGGCTTCGTGTCTCAGCTGCACCAAGCTGTGTCTGCCAGTCGGGTCCGAAGGTGCTGGCCCGAAGCACGCTTTTGGGCTCCAACCAGAAGACACGAACTGAAGCGCTTGCAGATCCTGGACACCTCAACGACACAGCACAGGCATACTGAGACTGCAGCCACCGAGGCCGGAGCGTGAGGGGCTTTGAGCCTGAGACCGAAAGCAAAGGGTAGAGCGTTTGTTGCTTCTGCGCCAAGGATGCCTGAATCGCTTTTGCCTTGTTCGAGATTCGAACGGTGGCACGGATGGCTCAGCTTTGACTGCATCCTGATGAACCTTCCATGGACATTGTCACAAGCCACAGCCACCAGCCTGACATGCCAAGCAGACCAAGCATACAAGCAATTCAAGAGCCAAATGCATGAAGAACGCAGAACACACACACACACAGCCCAGCGTCAGGCCGAGCGCGCCAACACACCCAGCCCCAAGCCTACTTAGTTGATTTGCCCATAGCCACGCCGGACATTGTGCTTGAGCCATGGCTCAATGGCGGCGCTTTGCAAAGGCGGGTGCCCCGTGCTTCGAGAGGCGTTGAAGCCGCTCTCGAAAGAGGCCGCGTGGATCGGGCTGCCGCCTTTGCTCTTCGTGAAGGACTTTGCTCTTCGCAAAGGGAATGGTTTGAGAGGCTTTGGAAGGGTTTGGAGACTCTGGGGCCTTGGGCTTTGCTTTTTTCTTTTTTGCGCAGGACAGATGGATGTGGGTCTACTGCGTGGAGGGCCGCAGCATGACGCCCACGCTGAACCCGCAGGCGTGGCATGTGCCGCGATGACAAACCTGAGCGTGCAGAAGCCTGTGACACCTGTGAGCTAAACTCGAAAGGGAGGGAGAACCGGGTTGATTTGGAGGCTGACTGATAGGCCAAGTGACACGCTCGCATGTGACTGCGACGTGGCCGTTTGGCATCCGAAGCACAAGCACGGATCCCAGGAGTCCTTCATTGATCGCTGCTTCCGAGATTTCGTGCTGGTGCACAGGCGCGCGGGAATGTTCGTGCATCCCCCTACTAGTACCAGCTTCATGACACAAAGTGAGGACATCTCCTATCACACAGCTTCACATTTCCACTTGACTCCCTCAGGGAGACGTCTTTCTCCTTGCAGGATGGGTTGCTCCCAGTCCGAACCTGGTTTTTCCACGTGTCTCAGGAACCCGGAGCTTCGGAAGGGCGACATCGTCTTGCTGCGGGCGCGGAGCTCGGCCTGGAGCTCGCAATTCGACAACCCATGCGAATGGCCAGTCAAAGGTCCTAGGATAAAATCGTGCCCAAGATGAGCTTGAACTGTGCATGGCACATCGCAGCTCCTTGCACCAGAACAAATTCGATTCCCTCGGTAGACCAAGGGCCGGGTTTCCTGAACCCTTGGAGGTTGCAAGCCATGCACAAATCTGTGCGGGCAATCCGGGCATGAGCCTTGTGTTTGCAATCTTGCTCAATGGGTTCAAGGCACAGAGGACATCCAGTGAACTGCAAGAGAGAAAGCTGCTTGGCCTTTGGCCGAATATTTTCAACTGTTGGTCCATGTTTTGGTCAAGGTCCTTGTCTCAGAAAATCACTCAGCCGTTTGGGCTTGCAGCGGGAGATCATGCCGCAGGGGTAATGGTCTCGCGTGACTGGGCTGCATTCGGCTTCTTCACACGTGTGCATGAGCAGTTGAGAACCTTACTGGAGAATGTTGATAACATTCTCTGTTTCCAGCTTGCCCGATTTGGCCAGACAGAGACCCTTCTCGCTTGTGGTTTGGTTTCACAGCAAGCGCTGCACTTGTGAGGTATTCTTTTCAGGCCGGGTTTGACCGCTGTTGTGCCGGCTCGGGCGTGCATTCACTCTGGGCAGCAGTCACAAGTGCTGGCCACCTTAGGTCATGCTGCCATGAGGTAAGCTGGATACACAGGATGTCAAGTTAAATTTGGATGACTAGGCCTTTTCCTGGTTACTCCTTGCAGCCAGAGCTTATGTAGCCGCCAAGACAAAAGGGGACTTCGCCTCAGCAATTTGCTCGCAGGTCTCTCTCGACGGTCCTGGCTGTGGCGTTGCGCCCGGAGTCGAGTTCCGTGCCTTGGCGCGTTTTTTCGTTTCGGGGAAGCCGGCGTCAAGTTCAGCTCTTTGTGCAATGGGCTCAGGTGTTGGAAAGGGAATCGATCAAGGAGGAGCCGGCGCGGCCGCTGTATTACCCCCTCCAGGCCGGGCCTGCCTCGGCAAGTGCTCGATGTCCTTGCTTTGCTTTCCATGCGGGGTTTGGTTACGGGATGTGCTAAGTTTTGCTCAGCAGGATTTTTTGGCAAGGGTTTTTGCACTTGTCAGATGAAACATTGGGCTCAATGTGTCTTAGGGTTTAGGGTTGGCGGCTTGTTTCAGGCTTGGCTGAGGGTTTAGGCTCGGCGCAAAATGGTGGGTGGTTTGGGAGGGTTAGGGGATGGTGGTTTGTTGCATCGACAGCAATTCCAGGAGCCCTTCTCCCTCCAGCAGCAAGAGGAGCGGCTCCTGAGATTGCAGACAGACACCCAACATGTTAAGAGGTTTGTCCAGAGATTGAGGGCGGAAGGCTACATGTCCTGATAGATTGTGTGGATCAAGCGCGTTTGACCTAATGAAATGGCAACGACAGCGAACTGAGAGAGATGGCATGGTTTTTCTTTGTCTGGTGGTTTGGATTGGTGGTTTGAGGTGCGGGGCGGCAATTTATCCTCTACCAGAACAGGGGTCCAAAGTCTAAGCCACCAATCGAAACCACCAACTAAAAGTCATCTGATGCGTTGTGGATTTGACAGAACCATTCTATCCCTTCCAAAACACTGGTCAACTCCGTCCAAAGGGAAGCTGAAAAAGGGTTCCTCCGAATTCAGATCGTGACTTGGATATCTTGATATGCCTCGGAGCCTAGGCTGGAAAGCCCCGTGGATGTGCGCCCAAACAATGGCAAGGCTGCAGATATCATCCACTTCGCCATCCTGCTGCGCGCCTTTTACGGCGGCCCGGCTGAGCCAACAGCTCCGACCAAGCTTCGAGCCCTCAACTCATGAACTCGGATGGCCTGTTTTAGCCCGCCCAATCTGGGGAGTCCCGAATCCACTCGAGTGCTATTTTGTCGGAATGTCTTGAGTCGCGACCATGAGAGCGGGCACAATCTCCCTGCGACCCAGGCATGGACTTCAAAGATGGAACCTACCAGGCGGACATTGTCATCACTTTCAAATGGAAGGACAGAGCAACGCTGAAGCTTGCGCAGCGCACCTTTCCGTGGGCAGATCCCAAAGCTGGGCCTAAGGGACTTGGCCTCCGGTTGCTGTTTTTGGGGCGCCAACCCAAACCAAGACAACAAGTGGCTGCTGGCTGCTGGTCAACGAGCGAAGCTTTCCTTTGCACGGACCAACAGGGAGTGAGGGATTTGTAGTGTTCCCACTTTCCCCAGATTGGGCATGCACCCGTTTTTCTGCTTTCTTGGCTCTGAAGACATCCAAAAACCGGGAGACTTTGAACTTTCTGTTGGCTCGCGACCAAACCGTCCCAAGCCGTTTTCAGGATGGCCGCGCCAAGAGCGTGGTGCCCGGAGGCTCCAAGTCCGTGAGCCTTGGCCTGACCTTGGCGAGGGCTTTTGGTGAACAGCCATGACCACCTTTTAGGGAGCTTCAGCCAGCTTCGTCAAAGATGCGGATCTATTTTTGGGAGACTTGAAACAGACCACCGGGAGTTTTCATGGCATGTGAGCAACTGACAAAAATACTGGAAGCCTGTCGATGATTGAGTGGCAGGGGAGGAGCATAGCGAGAAGGTCACTTATGTGAGAATCGAATAGTCCAAGATCCATTTTGGAGGGACACAGGGGCCTCTCTAAATGATATTCTGGCAAGAGGGAACGGAGGGAACCGCCGAGAGAGACAAAGAAACATGGAGCAGGGCGGGCGAGGAACTGTTAGGCATGTTGGGCAACCACGAACATATGGGTCTGTCTTTCTTTGATTGTGCTGCTTTTTTGGAGGTCTTAAAGCGAAATCAACAGGACGCAACCTCATTTTTTTTTTATTGAGAGAAGCTAGATGCGCTTTTTCCAGTTGCAGACGCGCGGATGGTCTGAGGACACTTTCTCAGGAAAGCGCCGAGAAGCAGGTGCCCGTGCTGCAACGCATGTGCAGTGACCCCATGTTTGAGTAGAGCTAAAGCAACTCTGAACTTCTCTGACTCTTCTCTGAACTTCCCTGTTTCTTTGTTCGCTGTGCTTGGGTCCTTTTACATGGCTCATGCATATGGATCCCAAGCATAGGCTCTGGGGATCGGGGGCAAGGGCGACCCATTGCCGAGATCTGGATGCCTGCCATGGCCATCACCAGCAGAGACATCCAGGGGACGGAGGTCATCTCTACCAGTGTGACGGTGCCCTGGCGCGTCTCACCTGGGCATGGAGATAGGATACACGCAGAGTTTCTGGCTGCAGGCTGCAAACCTCAATGCAGCTCAGCGACATGGGATCCCAAATGCTTGCAATCAGCTGGACTTGTGTTCGGATTTAGAAGCTTCGCAGACATGCAAGCCCTCGCAACATTTTGATCTGACAGTCCGGGGTGGTTTGGGACATCTCCACCTGCTTTGAGCCTACCTTTTGTGGGGAGGCCAACGCAGCCACCCATCTCGACCATAAGATTCTGGAAATCAAGATCTGCGCAAGTTGCGAGCCGTGCTGTCCGTGCCAGGTGTCGCAAGACGGCAGCATCTCGAAGGTGCAGCGCGTGATTGCCAAGATGATTCTAGAGGCATATTATGAGCACGGAGACAAACGCATCGAGTTGATTGGATGACTGGCAGATATTCCAGGATTGCCACGCTTTTCTTCACGTTTTGCACGTTGCACGCAAAGAGTGTAGGCAAGCAACAGGATTGTGCGAGTTGTAATGATGCATGTGCTTGACCGAGGAAAAACCCGTTTAGCACGGAGAAATATCCCTTTGACGAGCAGACTTTGCAAATCATCACCTCCTCCTCAAAGTACATGGCGAGTGAAGTGATCCTTGGCTCAACCTAGAGGCTCGCTGGCGAGAGGCTTTGACTTTTCAGCCCAGGGCATTTGGCACTTGAAATGAATGCAAGTTCTTTAAGGAGGTGTGGTACAACTCGGCTTTTCGTTGCAACCGGACTTTCGTTGGCAGTTCGTGTCGAGGAAGCTGGAGCCCTTGAAGGACTCGAAGATCTTGGATGATGCCTTCACAGGCCTTGGCTGTCTGAAGCTTTTGTCTCGTTCCAATCAAGTCTTTCGCAAGGATGAAGCTTGACGGTTCACCCATTCAGGTTGCCGGAGCCTGCAATATTCAAGATTAGGATGGCATTGTTCGTGTGCGTTGTCAGCTCCAGCAAACTGCCAGGACTCTGCGGGCGGGTCTGAGGTTTCTTGGGTCACTCAACCCGGCCTGTTGCCATTTTGTGATCAGGAAAAGGCTTCACAATGGAGAAGTTTGCCACGGCCTTGGGAGCAAGGGGGAGGGTGTTCGGGCATGGGTAGTGGCCGGGTGGGGAGGGGGAAGACCTTTGCCCTCAAGCCGTAGGCTTCATGTTTGGTGGTTACCTGAAATACCGTGCTCAATGTTTGTGGTGTTGCATAGTATCTCCGTCCAAAGGACTCGGAAATAAACCTTGACTAAATATGGTTTTGCCTCCGCAAAGATCACCCGCAGTCTTGACTCAGCTCTCGTTCTATCGAAGAGTGGGCAGGGAGGGGGGTACTCTCAGGATGTCACGGCGTACGAGGAGCAGAGTGGGCCGCTCATCAAGTTTCGCGGCAGGACACTGGGGTGAGGTTTATCAACTGGGTGTAGCTCCATGGATTTGGCCGTGAATTACCATCCATTGGAGTCCAAAATCTGGGCTGTGGGGCCCTTTCGTATTGGGCCGTCGCAGGATGGAGGTCGTCATCAAGCGGGGGCGGACGAAGTGGCGCCCTGCAGCAGTTGGACCTGTGTTTGGCAGGCCTTTGGCTGTTTCTCAAACTAGGGCCGGCTAAAATGCTTGTTTCCTTTTTGGCTTCCCTTGCTAAAAGGGGCTCACAATTTTGAGAAGCTCCCCTCTGACCTGGAGTCAACCGGAATCTGACGCAAGGGGTTCCACGGAAGGACATTTTCTCTTCAAAGCTGGTAGGTTCTATGTTGCGAGGGTAGACAATGAACCTGTGGCACACCTAAAGCCTAAACCAAGCCAAGCC